ACCGCCCCACTCCACCAACCCCTACCATAAACATCCAAAAATGAAATGTCAATTACTTGAATAAAAACTAAAGATAGCAAAGTAAAATAATATAACGCAAAACAGAAACAAAGAAAAATACAACAGACACCTAGATTTACACAAAAACCATCCACTCCTCACCCTACAGCTGTAGACAAGCGCGGCTATCCCCACAGGACAGAAGCACAGGAAGGCCGACACGATGGTCAAGATGCGGAAACTGCTTGGCCGGAACTGGAGGAAGCTGCTCTCTGACGTCATCGTGCTGGACGGAGGGGGCGGGGCGTACTGGAAATTGTGTGCAAAAGTGTTGGACTTTGGTTATTACATTATGGAGTACAACAGAAGGATTTTTATCTTTATCATTATTATCATCATCACTATCATCATAATTAGTGTCATCATCGTCATCGTCTTCATTCATCATCATCAAATACCAGATCTGAAACAGACACGGGCAATTATTCTTTCCTGAGCGTGGATGGTCTCCAAATATCTATTGTCATTCTAGTCTTTCCCATTCATAGACAAGATAAGGTTTACCAAATGGGTTGCTCTGAGTCTACCTCTGCCTCGTTTGCCTTTTATTTTATCCAGTGAGCGAAAGGCTTTTATGCTGATTTACATATCCCACAAACTGAATTTTTGTTTACGAATTCCTATGACATTTTCGACACAGCGGTTCAAATAATAAAACGATTGGCTAATTAACCTCAATATCATAAATTTAAAAATAAATGAACTCCTGCATCCGAAAGCGAAGCGCCTAACCAATACACCACAGACTCTGATACTTATATGACTTAATTATTGCTGCAAGTACCGTAAAACTCTTCACAAAAACTAAACAAATTGTGGTCCTCACCCCTCTTGTGGGTCTGCTTAAGGAGCCCAGAGGCACTCCCATGGCCCCATCTTGTGGCCCGGTGTAGGCGCGGTAAGAGTTGAGATAGGCGTCTTGTACCCTCATTTCAGGGATGTCCGCCTCTGGGGAAGATAAAATAAGATAAGATAAACGTCAATGTGTTATTTCTCTAGCAATGTGCTGGTTATTTTGTGTTGAGTAAGTTATAAAGAGGAAGGCCACGATGGACATGAACCCTATCTTCACCCCCCCCC